ACTACTGTAAGAATCCGCTGGTTCTCGGAACTGCCGACGTCGAACTCCCCAGTCTCTCGTACGTTAACTCTTCGGCTACGAGGCGTGTGGTATATTTTGATTCTGGTTCGACCACTTATGTCGATGCAATACGTAGTTTATTGGTTCGCTACTAGATTTCGTTGTGGCCAAGTTCGCAGAGAGTGAAAGGAAGTCAGAAGTTGGTAAGATTTGTTGCGTGATCTAGTCTTTGGAGTCTTGGAGGTGTGGTATGACTGGCGTATGAAGTTTATGTTTAGGGAGTTGTTAGTGTTTCGCCTTGTGGGGAGATATTTGCGTGATAAATGTATTTGAGTTCATAATGGCAAGTATTCAGTCTTAAAATGCCATAATGTAAGAATCATTGCTGTAAGTTTCTGTGTGCGAACAGTGATCTTCGTGGCTGTTATTAGGTTACGGAATAAGAGACTGGAAATTATGGGGTGTTCTCGTTAGTCGGTTGAGGTTGTGTCGATGATTAAATAGACGCCACGAGGCATTGATAAGTGACATTTATATACTCAGAAGTGTTTATTATTTGCGGGTTTGGTGCCTTGTACAGTTACTTGAAGAATTTCAATATGTTCACCTTGGAACGTGAAGTATGCTTGTTTAGCAATGCTGCATGTGTGGTGTGCCCCCAGAACAAAAGAACATATTCAATCAACTGTGTCATATGAATGCTGTTGGGTGGAGAAACGTGATAGTTAAAAGTGAATGCATTTTGTCTTCTGGGAATAGCTGAGAGAAGAAGCTTAATTGATCCTTGGGATTCTACTGAAGGGAAAGCTGTCTGTCATCTGACCAGCCCACTGCTTGCCAGGAAATCAGTGGAGTATGTTCAGTACACTTGGCAGGCTTACTTAATATCACAACAGGAAATTGGCTGTGATCACGAAGGGCACTCCTGTCTGCTACAGATTTATCTGTCTCAACTCGACGTGCATTGTGTTAAGTACATGAGCAATTTGATGTATTAGATGTGCTTGTCATGTGATAGAGTTAAGTCTGCCAAGAATATGTGGCACTATTTATCATTACAGTGCCGTTTGTAACTTGGTTGTTGTATTTCCTGGTGATCAGATTTCAAATATCACCATATTTGTGGAAAGAAGAAAGGCTTTAAAGCACAGTGAAACTAAAATCAGTGGCAAC